TGCTGAAGCAAAGAGTTGGACTAGAAGACCTCCAAGGTCCCTTCCAACTCTATTATTCTGTTATTCTGTTAAATAAGTGAGAATTAGTGCCATTTCTTTTCTTCTCAAGTCCATCCAAATAATGCATCCACATAATGTTGCATCCCATTTTTTTTTTCTTGCTGCTTCTTAAACCCTGACCATTTGGATAGATTTTGGAATTCTATCTGGACAAAGTATTTACATTTAAAAATAATTTTCTCTGTAAATAATCAGGCATAGGTAAAAGTAAAGGTTTCCCTTGTCCAGTCATGTCTGACTTTAGAGCGTAGTGCTCATCTTATTTCTTAGCGGAGACAGCCAGCATTGTCCAAAGACATTTTTCATGGTCATGTGGCCAGCATGACTATACGCTGATGCCCATGGAATAGAGTTGGAATGGACCTTGGAGGCCCATGGAACCTCTATGTACAATCCACCTTCCTACCTATTTATCTACTTGCATTTGCATGCTTTCGAACTGCTAGGAGCTGGGGCAAATAACAGGAGCTCACCCTGTCCCACGGCACTTGGGTCTCAAGCCCGGGCTGTCAATTTTCCAACTGGTAAACTCAGCATCTTCAGCTGCTAAGCCACTGAGACCCCTTTACCTTTAATGAGGTTAAATAAAAAATAAATCCCCAAAAATGAGTGAGAACTGAATCGATGCAATTTCTTTCCCATCCAAATAATGCATCCAAACAATGTTGCACTCTGTTGTTGTTTTTTCCTAGCTGCTTCTTAAACTCTGACCATTTGGAAAGATTTTGGATTTCTACCCGGGCAGAGTGTTTATATTTACAAAAACTCTTCTTTGTGACTTAGCAGGCATATGGTCCTCCTGTTAGCAGAAGATCTAAAAAGGGCAAAGGGGCACTAAAATGCAGAAGGGATATGGCATAAGACATAAGCCAGAGTTTAAGGCAGAAGAACTGAAGAGCACAGCAAGCAGGAAGGATTGCGCCCAGGCTGCATGGCAGGGTTCATAAAAGCTGCTTCCACCAATTCATAGACTGGGGATGTTTGGTCAGAATTTGAATTCCCAGCCAGATGGAGCCTTCGAGATTTAAAAAGCTGTGGAAGGAAAACTAGAAATGTGGCCATCTTCTCAGGGTTCTTCATGAGTAGAATGTGAGCTATGGAGGTCCCATACAAGTGTCTACTGCTCTCTATCTATTTTGGAGCACCAACTAGTTAGGAATTTTTCTGAGGATGAGGACTTTCTCAGAAAAAATCCAACAGGAGACAAACCACGAAGCTACCTACGATTTTTCCAACACTGATTTTTTCCCTCCTGATATACTTCTCATTGGTCAATCATTCCCCTTCTTTCTCCTTGCCTCCTCTCTCTTCCTAAATAGGACAGCCCCAGCATACCTCAAAGCTTCAACTTCATAAGTTGTGGGTGCTCCATCACTGGATGCTTTTAAGAAGAAACTGAACAGCCATTTGTCTGAAATGGTATAGAGCAGTGATGGCTAACCTTTTCATCCTCAGATGCCGAAAGGGCCTGCACCCATAATGAACTGCGTGCACAACCTCCCTGCCCCCCTGCGCATGCACGTGTGACCCCCCCATGTGCTGTGTGCCTCTGTGCATGCACACGCAACCCCCATGTGCCGTGCGCCTCTGAGCATGCACACATGTATCCCCCACATGCACCGCTTGCCTCTGCGCATGCACATCCATCTCCCATGTGTGCCCCAACCCCTGTGCATGCACAGCAGATACCTGACAATCAGCTCGCTGGTGGGAGGCGCATGCATGCGCGATGCACCTGATCTGGGGCGATGGCTCACGTGCCACAGGTTCCCCATCATGGGTATAGGGACTCCTGTATAGAGACTCACTGAGCCACAGTGGTTAGAGTGCAGTATTGCAGGCTACTTCTGCTGACAGCCGGCTGCCTGCAATTTGGCAGTTCAAATCTCACCAGGTCAATGTTAACTCAGCCTTCCATCCTTCCGAGGAGGGTAAAACGAGAGTTCAGATTGTTGGGGGCAATATGCTGACTCTGTAAACTTCTTAGAGAGGGCTGTCAAAGCAGTATATATAAGTCTAAGAGCTATTGCTTGAGCAGGAAGTTGGACTAGAAGGCCACCCAGATCCCTTCCAACTCTAATGTTCTATGTTCTACCTGGTCATTCTCTTTAGGAGACCTATGAAGACCTTGATCTTCTTGGGTATGGCCAGTCCATTAAAAGCTTTGACACAGTATTTTTCAACCTTGGCCATTTGGGGATATGTGGACTTCTACCTGGGAAATTCTGGGAGTCGAAGTCTACATTTCACAGAGTGGCCAAGATTGAGAAACACATAAGAGCCGAAATAGACTGCTGTTCACACAGCACACCATTAGAGTTGTGCCAGATCCTCCCAGCAATTTTCTTCTTCTCCCCGCTTTCCTTCTGCACAACAGAAGGTTAATATTCAGCATTCAGGTCCAAGAAACGATAATCCTGCGGCATTAACAAGCTTACTGCATAATTAGTTGCATAATTCGGAAAGGGCAAGATAATATAGCTGCCATTTTAAAGTCACAGCTAAGTGATGAAGTTGATGGAATATCGTTTGCAAATAGACTTCAATGCTGAAGGTTGCTCTTTGCCTTTAATTTGCCAACAGAACATTGAAAATTGATGCCCCCATCTTGCTATGAATCAAAGGTTTCTAACCACATTCCACAACAGGACATAGGGAGGAAAAACCCCCAACAAATCTAAAAATCCATGATTTGTTTTGAGGTTAGTTTAGGCAATTGACATTATTGACCCAACCTATTAAAAAAACATCAAAATTGCCTTTAAAATGTGAATGTTGTAACCTTCTAAGGTTGGCTCGACCAGATGTTTTTCTTTTTAAATAAGAGTTGAGGTTTATGGTAGCTGTCTGATGTTTTCAAATCACAGAAACCCACAGAATATATAGAAGGGAAGCAAGCAACATGGAGGGAGTTTTGGTTACAATTCAGGCATTGGTTTCCCCTGTCCAGTTGTGTCTGACTCTAAGGAGTGGTGCTCATCTTCATTTCCTAGCTGAGGAAGCCAATGTTGTCTGAAGATGGCTTCTATGGTCATGTAGCCAGCATGACTATATGCCAAGGTGCATGGAATGCTGTTACCTTCCCACTGAAGTGGTATCTATTTATCTACTTGCATTTTCAAGATTTCGAACTACTAGGTTGGCAGGAGCTAGGGAAAGAATGGGAGCTCACCCCATCTTGCAGTACTTGGGTCTCGAACTGACAATCTTTGATTGATCATCATCTTAAATTCTAGACATTGCATCTCCTTTGTGTTGTCCCAAGGCAAACCCTTCTTACCAAATATTCATCACTCATTGAACATCTTTGAGGAACTGTTATGAGGAATCTTCTCCTGTTTCCTCCCCTCACATATATCAGTTGTGTTTTTCTACCCTATATAGGCAGGCTTCCTGGCAACGGCACCATTTACCTCTTAAACATTATTATCTTTGTCATTTAAACAGATTTGATAGACAGGGCCTCTGCCAAGGGAGAGGACCTCCGATTGAAGATACCCTTAAATTTGCTAAAGAACAGGGCTGATCCTGTCCTACTACAGGAAGAGCAGTTGCATTCATAAACAACTGGTTTGGACACTAGCGAAAAGGCAGCACATTTGTATTTGTTTGTATGTTGTTGTGTTTTAATTCCAGGGCAGCAGTGACATACCATGAGAATGACGCACAAACTTTGTTGCTTAGAGTCTCATCCCATGCCATTTAGTTATTTACAAAAAAAAAAAAAAAAATGGGGAGGCGGGGCAAGGGGAAAGGACTCAAGACTTGCTAATGGAGAAGCACATTATGATAGTGCTAATGGAGAAGCACATTATGCTCAGAGTTGACAAAGGAAAAAGAAATAGGAACATTGGGTCAAGATCTGAACTTCTAGAATAACTTTTTTTTGACCCATGGTGACCGATTCATTATTGAGATCAATTAGTCTAATATTTGTGCGGCTTGAATATTTGCATGGTGCAACCATTATTGTGGGCCTGCACTTTTTTGTCTGATTGCAGATGTGCTAAAAGCCTTAGTCGCTTGAGTGAAGTTTGTTACTGCTTCTCTCACAGCAGAAAGTGATACCCTTCACGTGGGGGTGGCAGCCATCTTGTTGGGCCACTTCCTGGTCCTGAATGTTATCCCCCCTCCCCACACTGGAGAGATAGCCTGACTGTTTAATATTAATTACATTTAATATGAATTGTAGGGTTTGGGTTTGGCTAGTCTAGAGAAAAGAAGGACTGGGGTTGACATGATAGCAGTATTCCAGTATCTGAGGGGCTGACACAAAGAAGAGGCGGTCAACTTATTTTCCAAAGGACCAGGAGGGAAGACTGTATTTCTGGCTGTAGATACTCACAACTTTCATTGTTTAAACTATATGTCCTTTTAATAAAATCATGTGAGCTGCTCCTGAGATCTAAACAAGAATAAGAAATTCATTGATGGCATATGCAAAAGAGAGGGACTGTGCCCATCTTAATGTTGTTACAGAGAGTGGTGGTATTAAATTTTTACTACTACCGGTGGGTGTGGTGTGGCTTGTTGGGTGTGGCTTTGTGTGTGTGGCAGGGGAAGGATACTTTAAAATCCTCATTTCCACCCCACTCCAGGGGAAGGATACACTGTAAAATCTCCATTTGCACCCCACTCCAGGGGAAGGATACTGTAAAATCCCCATTCCCTTCCCACCCCACTAACCTGCTTTCCAGCTCTGTTCTCCTGTTCAAGGCAACAAAAGAGGAGCCAGCCAATCAGCTGGGACTTGGGAGGCAGTGAATAGATGGGGATGGGGCCAGTCAGAGGTGGTATTTACCAGTTCTCCAAACTACTCAAAATTTCCTCTACCGGTTCTCCAGAACCTGTCAGAACTGGCTGAAATACCACCTCTGGTTACAGAGCAATATTAATGCCACAGTGCTGTTGTTAATCAATTGTGTTTCTTTGATTCCCAGCACAAATGGACCCTCGTGGCCTGTCTCCCAGGCAGATTAAAAGCGACAGTGACGATGATGACCTGCCTAATGTGACTTTGGATAGCGTGAATGAGACTGGATCCACGGCCCTCTCAATAGCCAGAGCTGTTCAAGAGTAAGTATGGAGTCTTCGGGCTGATGGCAAGGTGGGAATACCTCATCATGTGCCGTTCACTAGACAGCCAACCTCTGATTGTCCCGGGCTTGGTTAGAGGTGGGGTTACCTCAAATGGCAGAGGAAACTCAAATGATGATATTCAAATGATGAAACTCAACTGATGATAGCCAACCTCTGATTGGCTGGGCTCGTTAGAGGTGGAGTTTTCTCAAATGGCAGAGGAAACTCAACTGATGATACTCAACTGATGAAACTCAATTGATGATAGCCAACCTCTGATTGGCCAGACTCAGTTAGAGGTGGGATTACCTCAAATGGCAGAGGAAACTAAACTGATGATACTGTATTTTAAAGACATCTCTATTGTCTTGGCCGGCTTAAGGTGTCTTCTGGTAGATATTTTCTGCTTTGCCAATATCTACTGCCATTCACTATACAGCCAAACTCTGATTGGTTGGGCTCGGTTAGAGGTGTGGTTACCTCAAATGGCGGAGGAAACTCAACCGATGATATTGTATTTTAAAGATGTTTTTGTTGTCTTGGCCAACTTAAAAGGTGTCTTCTGGTAGATCTTTTCTGCTTTGCAAGGAAACATTCTGGGTTTACTTTTTTTCTTCATATTATTATTTGTTTTGAGTTGTTTATCAGAAATGAAATGTAATTCTTTCCAGAATACAAAGTCTTTTTCAAAACTTTACTTATAAGGTTGGGGAGAAGATGTTTCTTTGCATCTGCCTGAGAAATTGATTGGATTCATCGCAAAAGAAGTCCATTCTCTCTTGAAGCCCTATCCATAGTTCCTGCTGGATAGATAGTGCAAATACTCAGGGAGGCTTCACACTGATTTACTATCAGATCACTTTATTACAATAGTGGCATGCTACCGGTTCAGACCAGTTCACCCACACTGGTAGTAAAAAAGCTTCTGAAGATCAGCTGAGAGGAGGGGGGGGGGAAAGCCTCCAGCCAGCTGAGAGAAGAGAAAAATGCAGGATCGGCCCTCCCACATCCGCCCCTGCGCTTTTCTCTTCTTTATCCTCTCAGCTGGTTGGTGCTGCAGGCCTCAGCCGGTGTGTAGAAAGCTAGGTTAGGTGTGTGCGCATGAGGTGCGAATCCGTTAGGTGCACATGCGTTAGGTGCACGTGCGTGATCACTGAACCAGTAGTGGAACAGGTAGGATTCCACTGCTCCTTTACTAGTCCTTTACTAGTCCGTTACTAGTCCTTTCTGTAAACAAGTAAGAGATTATTGGGGCAGCTTTTTCATACTGCTTTGCACGTAAGGCTGATCCCTGATTTCTTTTAACCACGTTGTATTGAGCAAGCCTGAATGAATCTTTGAAGCAGGCAAAACAATCATAGTTGTTTAGGCAATTTCTAGATCCTTTTGTCTCTTGTTTGTCTGGTCAGCACCTGTCTGGTTTTGAGAAACTGCTAAAATCAGTAGAGGATAGTTTTGCCTGCAAGTGTGTGAACTCTCTTTCTCACATCTACCCTTTCTGTTCCGTCAAACAGACGGGGGGTTGGCTGCGTTTTGGGGATTCTGTGCAATACTTGAATTTTTGCTTGTTCATATAATCAAAAATTAGTCCCATGAAAAAGCAACTTCTCAGTATTCTGAAGGAATACATGAAGGGGGTAAGAAAGTGAAAGCATAAATAAAGTTGGTTAAATTAATAATTATGTGGAGATAAAAATAGTTCTAGGTGTTTTGGGTAGGATCATGTGCAATGCTAAGTTCAGTCTGCCCTCCTGTTGTTATACAGGCTGATGGTGTCTTTCTCCCAGATATGTCTTTAGGAGTGAAGGAGAGCTTGATAGCCAGATCCTGGAATGGAGTCTCCAATTCAGAGTTGGACAGAATCCAAGACTAGCATGATCAAGGGACATTGAGACATTGATGTTGATCACAGTTGGAAAAAAGTTGGAAAAGCTCTTAATAAACCATGTTCTGTGATAGAGAGGGTCCAAATCAGTGGTGGTATTCTACTGGTTCAGCCCAGTTCTGCTGAGCCGGTAGCGGTGATGAGCAGCAGAGACCGATCTGGTTCTCTCCACCTCTCTGGTGTTAGGCCCACCCGCCTGCTTGGGCTCCCATACTAACCTTTATCCTCTGCTTTTGAAGTGCAGCTGCTTTGCGCAACAGCTGCTGAAGCAACCAGGAGATTGCAGGCTTGCAGGAGGTGAGTTGTAACGCCTCTGCACCTGTGTAAAGTGCGTGTTTAGTGCATGCATCCACGCAAAGTGAGTGCACGCAAAGTGCGCCCACCAAGCCATGCCCACTGAACCGGTAGTAGACAATTTTGAAACACACCACTGGTCCAAATCAACTAAACTTAGGGCTTGAAGAAACTCACGAAAAGCATACCCAGAAAATGGTAAAAGTTGAAATATTGTTCTTTGTGATTGTGCCAGACTGCTAAGAGTTATGATATGTGGCTGTGTATCAGCAGAACTCTGTAAAGAACTAAATGGAATTAAGTTGCTCTGAGTGCCGTCTGCTGCCTCTTCCAGTTTCCCATCTGTGGGATCGCTTTTTCGTGTTTCCTTCCTTGTGTAAAAATAGCTATTTTTATGCACTGGCATGCAATGTTGCTGAACTATGGATGACCCTCTCTTCCCTCTGCATGTGTGTTTAATTCAGTGCATGATCAGGGGCATTAAAATGCTGATGCTAGCAAATATTCCTCAAGGAACAAAGGCAAGAATGTGTCCTCTGCAGAACAATCTGAATTTAGAGGATCCAGGCAGAGCAGGGAAGTCAAAGGAGAGTTGTGCACCAATTGATCAGCAGCATTGTACCCTTACCTTCTGTGGGTTCTGGAAGGAAGACAGGGGTAGTGTTATGCCCTTGTCGGAGGAGCCTGAATCTGCAGGGGAAGATGAGCAGGAACCTGAGGTGACAGAGATTCAGGGGGTGGCTTCTTTGGCTTTGGAAGAAAATGGGGAAGGGCAGGGCTAGTCAGGCCAGGGTCTTTCAGGATTAGGACAGTTTATAGACAGGGAGGAACAGGGGCAGGATGAACAGGAGAGACAGAGCTCAGGCAATGAGCAAGGACCACCTCCTCCTGATTCGAGAGCACAGAAAGTGGAGAGAAGGTGAGAACAATGCAGACTGAGCAGGCTACTCAAGAGAAGAGAGCCCGGCCCATCTTCACAAGGCACACCTGGGGAATGAGGCTTAAGGAGACGCTGTGGGAAGGGGCATTTGTTGGGAACAAATGCTGATGTTTGAATTTCCCAAGAGTCCGTGCATTCTTTCTGGCTTTCTGGACTAATTACCTGGATCCTTTGCTTCCTGAACTCCTTGATTTGCCCGTCTGGATTTATTGCTGTGCAGCCTTGGTGTACACGGGGCTGGGCTGGACTATATGCAGCTTGAGATGTGTGGGGGGAGTTGACAACACTTTGCTCTGGGACTGGCCAGAAACATGGGAGCATTTGGGGAAATTTGGAGCAATAAAGGGGTGGTTTGAACTGCCAGCTGTTTGTGTGTTATCTCTGTGCTGTCCCCAGGACATCGCAAGTAGGCTGAGTCCCAAAGCTTCTCAGGAGCTGCTATTTTGAAGCCAAGCAGAACATGAGAGAGATCCTGGAGAAGACACTGTCAAACCCTACCTATACCTGGGAAGGGGAAAGGAGGGTCTGTTTTGTTTTTGTGGAACCACTCCAGCATAGAAATGCTTACTTAAAATGCAGAGGACTACTCTGAACGTTTGCTCAAGTGCCTACAGTGGATGATACTGAATTTGAGTGCCCTCTATAAATAATTGTAAATGAAGATAGAAGTGGTTGGTATGGCAAAGGTGAAGTGCACTTTCTCCTCATTACTATGCCAGGAGAAGTGTTTCTCTGTGTTAGAAGTCTCTTTTACTGCCTTAATGTTGCCATGTTGGTTGGTTTGTTGTTGTTGTTTCTTTCTTTTTTCCCAGTGAAGACACTTAAGACATCAAACTTGAAATAAGCAAGAAGAGACTTTTCTGCATTCTCATTGTTAATGTTTGCTTCCGCATCATTTATGGAAGCTGGTTGGGAAGACCTGTGTCATACCCCTGTTGGAGTCTGACTCCGGGGGAGTGGAGGAACAGTGGGCAGGGAGTGGGAGTGTGGCTCTGGAGGTTGTGGAGGAAACTGGGGAAGGGCATAGGCCAGCTGAGCATTCAGAGGAAGACCCAGGCCCATCCTCTCTTCATCCTAGGGCACGCAAGGAGAAGCGGATAAGGGAGAAACATGAATGGCATGGTCTACGGGGGAGGAAAGGGCCCTGAACCTCTTCATGGACTGTAGCTGTGAGGACTGTTTAAAAGGACAAACTGTGCATGGCCCAGTGCTGGAAGCAAAGCATGAAATAATTCTAGTCTTTCCATTTTTATCTGAGTTCTGGCATCCTTCCCAGTGCATGTATTTTGATATCTGTGGACTCTTCAAGCCCTTATCCTGCCTTGTCTCATTAATTGCTTCAGTGTAGTTTGTGTTGTTTTTTTTTTTCAATTTATAATTTATATGTATTTTGAGTTTGAATGGAAGTTCTTCCTTTTTGCAAATATTTGTGGGGGAGTTTTTTCTCCAGTCAATGATAATTGGAGCTTTGAAGCCAAGTTGAAGGAATTAAAGGGACTTCACCTGTTTTTGTGAACTTGTTGCTTTTGTATCCCACCCTGGGTCATCACAACCTGAGGTTGCCAGACAAGGGGCAGTCCCTGCTATGGTGTGAGATGAGCCCCAAAGCAGAGCAATTCTTATGCTCTGGGAAGAATGGGGAGATGCTAGTTCTCCTGCTTGGTAAGAGCATGAGGGAGATGTCCAGTCAAATCTCTAGAATTCCTCTGTTGCTTTTCTCCACCTAGATTCTTCCAGTTCAGAGAGTTACAAATGGATGAACGAGGAGCCTCTTCCAAGACACAGAGTCGCTCTCCTTCTTTGCATTAGAAGTAGCTCAAACCAGGTTAGGATCCAGAAAGGCTCGAGATCAGGAAGGCTGATTGTCGGAAAGTGCTCTGAA